GAGACAGAGTGGGGAGCAGAACAGGCAGATCAACAAAGTACACTGCTGAGGGGAGCAGCGGGCGGGTCAGGAGAGGTCTGCCGCGCCAAGTGGTCACCTCCGGGGCAGGCGGGAATAGAACTCATGCGAAACGGCTTTAGATTCTCAGTGCTGTGCTTTAACCCGCTGCGCCACCAGGGAGGGCCGGCACCCCCATTTAAAGGATTGGAGGGTCCAGGCGAAATGGAGCAGCTCGCCCTAAATCACTGAGTTCTAAGGCTGCGAGCGGGATCCAGCCCCAGAGCCACGGCCCCAGAACGAGTCTGTTCAGCCCTCTGCTCAGTGCTCCCAGCTGGGTAAGCTCTCCAGAGGCCACGCATCCAACTGTTTTTGTATAAACAGTGATTTCTTCTGCTCTGACATTGCGTTTCACGATCTTGCCCAGAAAAAAAAAATGCAATCGTCTTATCTTTAGAAAAATCCACACTCCGGATAGGGTATGGGAAAGACTAGCTCATGCCTTCCAGTTGGGGGGCCAGTCCCTAATCACTTGGCCATAGTTAGGGTGAAAACTCCCAAGCACCCTCTCTGTTCGTGTTCTGTCCTGTAGCAATCTGGGGGGAATTGATTATGTTAATGTCTATTCTCCAGGGTTTTTCACAAAATCTTTTGTTTTTAAATGAACTCATTTTCTTTTTGCCATTAGAGATGGTTCTCAGTATGGCTTGCGAGCCACGGATGGTCTGAGAACCTTCGGGTGGTCTTTTGAATCGACACTCAGAGATGCGTGTCCAACTTTCTGGCTTTGGCCAGAAGTTAAAATTGAAATGTCGTTGAATACAATCCAGACCTGACCTCACTGGTCCCTCCGGCAGCACAGGGCTATTCATCATCTCGCTAACTGCTGCGAAGGCAAGTGGGACTAGGTGGATTTGAAGATTCTGAGGACCCTTGTTTGAAGGAATCTCAGGGCAGAAACATCGTTCTGGAACACACTAAGACCCCTCCGCTGCGTTTGGGAACCTGATATGACCAGCCACCGCATCCAAATTGGCTAGATAGAGCAAGAGCTTTGAGCAAAAAGCAGAGAGGCCCAGCAAATCTGAGAAGCTGTCAAAGGGTAATGAATTCTCCCCAAAGCTTTCAGATCTGCATTAATTTGGCAACTCAAACTGTGAGCATCATCTAACAGCCCCAGAGAGGGCGACTGCCAAATGTTTGTTGCCAAACTAAAAGAAGAAAATTAAAAGTCTTCTGCTTCACCGCAGGCGCGGTGCTCGGCTACCTTTTTTAGCAGTGGGCTACGAGCTCTGTTAACACAGACTGAGGCACAGAGGTTTGCTGTTGCTTCCTCCCCTAAAGCCCAGGCTGGTGGCCAAGAGCCAATTCCCACAATTTATGTTTCAGCCTAAATCGGAAACATCACCACACAGGAAAGAAAAGATCAGACACAAATCATCTCAATATGGTTTATTGGATGAATAGTTCTCCATGCTCCCCCCTTACAATCTTATCGGAACTTTATCACTCCCATTCCTTAAGTGGTACCCCATGAGGTGTTCATTAAGAAACAAGGCTAAGCTGAGGAACCCCGGGGCTCCAGTCTTTAAGCTGTGACACCAGCCACACAGAAACGTGGGAGACATATTCCCGGGGCAGATGTTTTGATCCTGGAATTTTTACCCCCTTTTGGGCAGGCAGAGAAGAAAAGTTGTCAGTGGAACCCGGGGAAACAGGAGGGGAGGGAAGCCAAGAGAAGGCTCTGTTTTGGGGGGAGCACTAGATGGGTGGCTTCGGGAGAGATTACCCAGCAGGGAGCACTGAGCAGAGGGCAGAACAGACTCTGGGGCCGTGGCTCTGGGGCTGGATCTCGGCTCGCAGCCTTAGAACTCAGTGATTTAGGGCGAACTGCTCCATTTCCCCTGGACTCTCAGTCTCCTATCCTGAAAATGGGGTGCCTACCTCACAAGGCTGTTGTGTGAACTAAGTGAATAAGCAATTATAGGAGAGTCCAAGAAACCGGTTGCTTAACACAGTTAGTGCTCCGTAAATGTTTACTAGTGTTCTTTTCTGGAGAGCTTCAAGACTTGAAACGAGAGAAAAAACAGCACACTCCCAGAGGGGATACCGTATGACCCGTACGGGATGAAGTCTGAAGGCCGCTGGGGGCTTGAAGAGACGGTGACCACAAGCCTGTACTAATAACGCCGCTAACAGCTCACTGGGCACCTCCTGCAGAGGGTTCCCCAAACCACAGGCTCGTAACTCACCCACAAAAGCAGGGCATTCGAGGGGACAAAAGGTGGCGAGCTCTCCAGAATGGCGGCCAGCACTGAGTCGACCCACCGCGGGCCTTCATCCACTCAGTCACACTCAGTGAGGGCCGCTGGCGTAGGAATGGAGAGTTCCACTCACTGAGAATTTACAGTCAAAATTATTTCACCTGGAAGACTTAGTTACATCCCCTATAAAGTGGATGTCATCAGTCAGGAGCATTTAATTAGTGACCCCGGTTTGCTGCTCATTTTGCCAGGTGTCTCGGGATATTACACAGGCCAAGAGAATTTGCTTCTGCTTTCAGGACCAAGGGTCAGCATGGGAGGGTGAGATCATACGGGCATCACAGGGTGAGAAACACAGTTTTGTGAAACACACATCAAATCATGCACCGAATGCTCTTCTGTTAGAATCCAATGCCCACACTTTCCCAGCACGAAATGTTTTCTGCTAGGACTGACCTGTATATCAACTTGAGTACACCGCAGTGACAATCTCAATAATTACTACAATTCTAGGAACGTATTGCTACCCGAGTGAGTTCTGAACACTTTGGAAGTTCAACATGCCTTATTTACTATCTTAATAGGAAAAATATATTTGCTCATCAAAATATTCATTGGCCGGCAGATAAGCTTATCATCACGCTCACTTAACGAAACTGATGAATTAGAATCCACATTTCTGATATTTCTTGAAAAAGGAGAGTCTTAGCAGATTTACAACTCTGAAAGAATGATGAAGAAAATACACGGACGCTAAAGACACTGAAAGCATTTTGGAACTAGGGAGAGAAAGGTTCTTAATGATTATTTTCAGAGTAGAGCCAAGAAGGGAGTCATGGATCTAAATCCAGGTGGACAGAAATTAATTATTCCCCCTAAAAAAGTCAGATAACATAAAAGACAGAATCTATAACCAATATATAACATGACAGAAACCAAAACCAGCACAAGAAAAATTACCTACATATTTCTTCCTAGCCTACAACTCTGATTTCACTTATATTCCACGAGGGAATTAAAGAAAAGGTTTTTGTTTTGTTCTGTTTTCTTGGTGAGCAGCCTAAAGTCTTTAGAATTTCTGTATCATCTAAATAGCACCACAGGAGAAATGTCTGAGCAACTAATGAACGTTATTTGTTCTTCCTTAATTCTGATTTACACCAAGTCCAATATAATTGTGCTGGTTCTGGTTTTCTACTAAAGATAAAAAATAAAAGTGCTCTTAGACCATTCGGATCATTCTATACCTTTCAATAGATGAAACCTGGCATTGTTGCAGCCCAGGACTGACAGCCCCTCCTCCGTTCCCAAGCGAGTGATGCAGCTTTCCCCTCCCTCCCTTGGCACCCTCCGGGCTTCCTTCATTTCTCCTCTACTCCCTCCCTTCTGTCTTAAATGTGTAGGCCCTTGAGAGCCCTGAACTTATTATTTAGATGTGGAACTCTACCCTTGCTTGGATGGAGCTCGCGTTCTACATCGAAAAGCACCTTTTCTCTAGGGGTCACAGGTTCCCGGGGAGGGCACTCGTCACTCCTAAAACACTGACAAGAGCCCCGCGGTCATGCGCTCGGTGGCAGTCAGCTCTGCCTGTGCCTGGAGAGGAACTCAGGCCTCCTGGCTAGAAAGCTCGGGTCCCCTGCACGGCATGGTTTCCTGGTTCACTGACACAAAGCGCAGCTCTCCTTTCCCGGGAGATGCAGCACAGAGAGGTACTCTTTCAAATCACCCCCGTCTCCCGTGGCTCCCCCAGATCATCTCAACCGAGAGAAGAGAGACGTTGGCAGGTCTCAGCGTATTAATAGAAAAAACAAATTAAGAACTATGTACTTTAATCTTCAACATCCATAATTGCACAAAGTACCACTGATCACTTAAATAATACATGTCAGTTAATCTAATGAAGAAACGTGTCGAGAGGAACATTCAAAGCAGTACCGTGAACATGTAAAAACTGTCTGAGGGTGACATTTAACACACAAAGTACAGAATCATAACAGGTCTTCGAGTTGTTGTCGTTCCGAAGCCGTCAAGATGGGGTAAAGCACTAAGCTGCACACACGCAAATACTCTGACCCGCTAGGCCTCTCGGGTAAATAGACGTCCATGCTTACACGTTTGCTACACGACTTCCCATCTTTGCACCTCAGTGCTGTTTGGTGATGGAAATACAGAACAGGAACAAGGGGGAGGTGGAGGGGCGACCATTTACTTTCAAAATAAAATCAAGGAGGGAAGTTTAAACTCCAGCCCAATCAACTTTCAAATGGCATACCCAGAATATTGTTATAGAGAAAACCAATTTTTTTTTCTTAAAAAAATGTATAAGGGTCCAAAATGACTGAGAAGCTTGTCCATGCTAAGGGAACGCTGAATGTGGAAAATTTGCATTTTTAAAAATCTATGCTGTAAAGAAAATAAAAGGCCAGAGCATTTTGGCATTAGCAAAAGGCTGTACTAAGTTCTCAGGCAATAAATTTATGGGGAAACATGACAGGCTCCTCATTAAAGCTATGTGTACGTTGGCTGAATTTTATACAAGATTCTTGAATCTTGTGGAAAATTGGGCACGGCTTGACATCTGAACAATGTCCCTGGTTTGTTTGATTTCTAAAGCATCGGAAAATGTTGCACTTTGGAAATCAAGTAGAGAAGAATAAACACACTAAAACAGAACTGGGCTGAACATGAAAGTTATTTTTCCATATGGCTCTATGAGATATTTATTATCTTTATTTCTCTTACAAACACAGCCCCCTACGCTAGAAATACTGTGGTACTTCTTCTTCTTCTTCTTCTTTTTTTTTTTGGTGGTGAGAAAATAGTCCCGTTAAGGCAGATCTTTCCCGGCAGCAGTAACCACCTAAGGACAGGCAATTTTCAGTTGGCTTTTCAGAAGCTGGTTGCCATGACAAAGAGCACAATTTATTCCTTAGTCCCTTATCACAGCTACAGATCACAGACCATAAAAATTAACAAGGCTCTTTTCCTTTTCCTGATAATTTCAGAATTCCTCATCCTTACCTGAGGTCTTTTGTTCCCCCAATTAAATGGAATGAATGTCAGTCATCTCGCCATTCAATTAATGCTGATTCAAAATTCTGGCCAAAACCAGAATCTATAATCACAACCTCCTAATCACAGCTCAGTCATGAGAATGAAAAGTAAGCAGGAAATTGCACTAATTACTCAATTAGACTAATACTGTATTTTAAAGCGAGGGCTTAAAGGGTTGTCAGCTCTGACAAAGGAGTGTGGAGTCGTCCTCACCTTTGTGTGTCTGCAGTTGTCCAATTGAAGCCCATGTTTTCAAGTGGCCATAATTTCTACCCATTTAGGATGGATGGATGGACCCAGGAGAGCCATGGAAATTTACAATGGATAAACCAACCAGGAGGGGGGATGCTGGGGCCCCCGCGACCCGCACTCTGCCCTGTACAATAGCCAGCCCTCCCCGTGCGCGGGCAGCTGAGCACACACCGTCAGAGGCGTCCGCTCCAGGAAAATACTCGTGAGGGCGAACATTCAGGAGGTGCGAGAACCGCACCACTCTATCTAAAGGCTGAGGGGGCGCACAGGTACCAGCCTCTGAACCCACCGCAGGCTGGCTGCCTCCTGCGTGGGGGGACAGAACCCCTCCACGCCAGCACGCCCACCCCTGAGGGGGCACTAGGGCAGCTGGAAGCTAAGAAAGACCCGCACCTGCAGGCTGACTCCTCAGGCTGCAAAGCCTACCTGCAGGATCTTCACAAACCCCCAACAGCGAGTGAGAAAGAACTGGCGGGGAAGAGCACATTGAAACTGACTGAAGTATTTACAAAACAACACAGGCAGCAGATCAAAACAAGCTGGACCTTATTAAAATAAAATAATGAGAGCCTAAAATAATTAAGACTCTTTTTTGCTACTCAGTTTTAGAGACTTAAAGATTCTGTAAACAACAGAGAGGACACTAGAGCCTGTCATGTCTCTGGTTTTTGTGAAAACCCTCCCCAAGCTGGAGGTCCGTGAAGAGTCAGAGACAGCAAGGGGACAAGTGCTTACTGCCAGGGCCGCGGCCTTTCCTCTGCAGCAGTTTCTGAAAATGACCAACTTGGGAACTGCTCAGGGCTTCCAAAAGGAGAGAAAACATTTATTGGACTAAGACAAGTCTTTACTTCCAGGGTTTGCCTTGCAGGTGGCCACTGCCCAGCAGTCGGGTGTTGGGGTGGCCGGGAGGGCCCCCGGAGGGCAGGTTCTGACCACAGCGGGTGCCTGAAGCCTTGGAGTCTCTTCCCGAGGCATTAGCTTGGCTCATTCGGCCTGGAGGAAGCAAGAAAAACAGTGGGATGAGCTTCAAGGATGATTCTGTGGCCAACACGCCAAGTACACTTTAAAGCTAACAAAGTTCAATTCAACGTCTATATAAGGTTCAAACCTGCTCTTCATTCTTGAGATCATCTTAAGGGGAGGGGGGGAAGGTAGGGGTGAAAGGAAACCCCAATCCCTGTTCTTTCTTCCTCTCTGTTATCCCCAGCCAACCTAGTCCGACCCTTCATTCTTTTGATGGAGAAGGGCGCAGGAGTGATTAGAGAGAGGAAAGTTGTGAGCCAAAGGAAAGGTCAGGAGATTTAAATAGCCCCAGAAGTAGCAGAAAGAAACAAAAACTCCCCAAGAAAGGATGTGGGTGCCTCTCAATTCTGCCTGATACACACTGCCTTTGATTTATAACCCTCTTCTCTCTGTGCCCAACACCTAATTCTTGCCGTAGAGAGCACCTCCACCTGTCCTCCCCCCGCCCCGAAAATATTTTGACTTGGGACACACTGTAAGAAGTCAAGCTTTTCATGTGTATGAAGTGGTGCTCAAAGTTGCAAATCTCAAGCTCGACAGGGTTAAAATATCTTACTAGGATTGTCTGCAGGACCTTGATCCTCTTCCAGGTAATATTCTATCTTTTTTAAATCTTCCGGGGTAAATCTCCATTTATTCTCCGCTGGCAGAGGTGGTACTTTGGGGCTGGAACGTTTCCGGGCGGAACCAAGAGGAAGGGCCTGCTGGCAAGATGCTGGCAGGGAACCTGTAATCAGTCCTTCTGGAAATTTCTGAGCTAAGACTTTTAGACCTAGGTGTGGAAAATCAGCAGAGAAAGCAACATTAACATGGTGAGGCTACAGTGAAACCTGTGAAGCAGCCTGCGTGTCTTCTAATCTTTGTTCACCAAGGTGAGGGCAACACAAGGACATGAAGTCTTTCCTAACTGCTTCACCATTAAGTAAATGACACCAGAAAGTGTCAGTTGTCATGTGGGATTCTGAGAATTCCACCAGCAACCCTTGAGTCCCAGGCTGCACATGACGGCTTCCTTAAAGAGCAGAATCATTGCATCAGGAATCAAAAACATGTGCTGATGGTGCTAAGAGAAGTCTCACATAACCTGCAACTCCTTCCAGCCAGCACGACTTCTCTCTTTCCAGAACACCGAGTTCTGCAGATGCATGGGGAAAAGGCCAGGACAGAGAGTCCCTGTGGCTGTAGTTTGGGGCCTCACCTCCAGAGAGCATGAAGAGGTTTTCGAAGCCCCGCTCGCACATGGTGGTGGCCGCCTGGCTGGCCAGCCTCTCGTCGTCATCGTACAGGATGATGATTTTCCCGTGGGCGTTTTTCTGAGTCGCAGGAGTCAAGGCTTGCCGCCATCAGGCTAATGTGCCTGCATGCTCCAGAAACCCCTAGGGTTCACCCTTCTGAGTTCCAGGGAACACTGGATGAGCCCACTCTTTACCCATCACGCCAGCCATTAGGGGATTTTGGTTGTCATGGAAACCATGCAATCTGGACTTCTTTTCTCTTATACATTAGTATTACTAAGGCCCAAGACAGCACTAACTACACTCTTTACATCCTTTAGCTCTTTTAGCCATACAGCCTGGAAAGTATCATAGTTCACATTTCCCCGAGAAGGAAAGAGAAAAACTTTTATGCCCGATGCATCTAAGGAAACCTTATTTGTAACAGTAAAAAAAGGAATGGGAACCATCTAAAGGTCCAAGAGGAATGGTTTAGTAATTTATAGTAAATCTGAAGACGAGATATCAAAAGAACATCAAAAATGGAGTTTATAAAGCACTTCTGTTACAATGTAATATAAAATGGGAAAAAGCGAGACTCTAAATTATACATACAGCATGAGTTCTACTTGGTTAAAAAGAATACAAAGATGAACATCTGGAATAAAATACACACAAAATGCAATGTGAGTAGTTCATTGTGCGGTTATTAGAACTACTTTCTTTTTTTATATTTTTCGGTATTTACCGGATTTTCTACTTTATGATTTTTATGAACAAACAAAAATTTTAAGAAAAAAAATCTAAGTAGAAGGAAAAAGCTGAATACCTAAATTTCACTTGGGAAAGCTTTTAGGGGATAAATGTCTTAGGACTAACTCTCGCAAGATCATAACCTCTACACATGATTTTTTGCCCAGGGCAGGAGGGCTTAGAAGTGTCTGCCTTAATAGCCAGATATGCAGCAGCTGCTAAGAACCCCAATCCTAAAATATGCTAAGCTAATGAATATCAAAAACACTTCACAGCGTTTTCTTACTGGGAGCGTGAGTCATGATAAAAGTTCAATCCTTACCATGCCCCAGACTACCCGACTCTTAATGCCACAAAGGATACATATTCAAGAACGTCATTTGAATAAGGGTTCATTGTTCTAGACAGGGTTGCAATTGGGTAACTGTAAGCTATAAAAAGAAGAAAAGTGCTTAGGACATTTGTCGGCTTTCAATATGGCTGGTCCCAATTCCTCACTGAGATAAAGTCTAACTGAGAGTTAAAATAAAGACACGTTCAAAATCAATGAGCCATAAACCTAAATAACTTTTGTGGAAGAAAATCTGGACACTGAGCCAAATACGAAGCTTCACTCTACTGTTGGCGCGTTTAGTACTAAGGCCTTGCACCCCGCACCTCGGCCCCGCCTGCCTCCCTGAGCCATCCAGAAGGCAGCGGCCTCTTTCATTGCATTAGCTTTCCATAGTGGACGCAGCTAACCTATGGACTCCTTAACTGTTGTCCCTGGGGCTGGGGTCAAGCCTGCCCACACCCTAGGGCAAGCTCAACATCCGGGCTGAGCCACCATAAAGGCTTCTCTCTCTCACCCCCAACAATGTGGCCCTGCTGGTAGGAATCTCTGTCTCGCACATCTAGCAACAGGAAGGGGCAGTCAGAGTACGGCCGGTCTTTGGTGTTGGGCTCTGCCTTCTTCACGAGCCCTTTGTCCAGGTCCAGTTCCCCAACTCCACTGATGACGCTGCAAATGAAAAGAAACAGTCAGCAGAAGCTCGTCAGGATCGGTGGCCATCAAGGTCATACGTGTCTCTTCAGAAGAGCGATGAAGCATTGGTGGCTTTTCAGAAGATGCTTCAGGGAAAATGGATATAGTATCTCAGTTCTGCCTCTGAATGTGAGACCCGTGGGCTCCTGTTCTCGTACACAGGGAGGGATCCACCTTCGGAGAGGGCACGTCTGGTCATTAGCATGGCTGGGGGCATAAACTGAGGAACATATGCAGCTTCCCGCAGAGTTCAAAGGAAGAAGAAGGTAAATGCCATGGAAGTCGGAGGGTGTGTGAAAGCAGAGCAAAGGGGTAAGAATAAGGCTGATGGGATAAGAAACATGAACGGTATTTCTGTGTCTGTTAAATGTGATATGAAGTCACAAACATGTTGTGTTTCACATACATACACAGTGACCTATCCAATGAGGCTTCTTCTTTTTTTTCTTTCAATGCTTATTTTCATTTTATAGGTTATAGTAATGCTGAGCTTGAAGTGGCCTTTCGATTTGGGGCCACTCACATAACGAGAAAAGGAAAAGCTGGGGTTGAAGTCAGGGAGTTCATACTGACAGTTCTGGTTCTCAGAACCAGACAGTCGGTTGCCATATTAGTAAGATGTGGTAAAAACATGAATCAAGATGTGTGATGAACAAAACGGTAAGTTGTGAATTATCTGTTTTGGTAAAGAGGATGATTAGTTTTCTCGGAAAATATAAAGACATATGAAAAGAAACCACACATCAGTATTAGCATACAGTTCCTTTCTGCAGCACAGCAAACCAAACTTTGCATTTAAATCCAACAAATAGTCACTATATACCACAAAGAGTATACTTTGTTAAACCAAAGGAAAAGGCTAAATGTATTTCCTATGAGACTGCATTTTCAGTGGAAGTCTTCTTGGTCTATCTCATTTTAAACACAATCTTACAGTCCGTGCACAAAGGTAGCTATAGGTAATAATAATAATAATAATTGCGGTGCTGATGGTAGCAATTCTTTGAACTCATTTCTCTAGAGCTGTTTACCAATAGAAGGGATGGACATGAGTGGAAAGCAGCAGGCTGTGACAACCAACAGTTAATATTTGTGAGAAAGCGTTGCATTATAGAGGTGGAATAGGGACCAGCCATGTGCAATTCGAGAATCAACACCAAGGGCTGCCTTCACTCTCCTTTGCACCTATTAAACATCAGAGCACTGTGTGGGGCACTCTATTTTTCTTCTGAGTCTGGACAGGGTAATTATAAGCTGCAGCAGACAGAAAAGGGCGGGAGTGGGGTAGGGGGGTGAAGGGGGTGCGGGGTGGGGGTGGGGCGGGAAACATGCTCTTAAAGTCAAAAGATAGTAGTTGTAAAAGCCAGGTCCTAACAGCAAACTTGCATATAGGAGGGCTGAGAGGAATGAAAGCGAGAAGTGAAAGCTAATGCTTTCCTATCATTAACTGAGAGTGCCCTGGCAAGATTCAGGAGGTGGTGTTTATATAAAGGGGAAGAAGGGCTGGGATGAGAAGGGGGTGGGGGGGACTTTATCTTTTTCTGTGGTAATTAACTCACTGAAATTGATTAATATGAAGGTAAAATGCAGTGCAAACACAAATCCAATTACACTGAAAGTACCTCTGAAGAGTTGAGCGGCTGGAGTCCCCGGCTCCTGTGCTGTTTATGAACTGGACAGGGCTGGGAGACTGCTCCCCAGGGCTCCCCTTCCCATTGGTCCTGGCAGCAATTTCTGCATCAGGGTCTGAAGTCGCAGAATCGTTGTCTAAAATGTGCACAGGGATAAGTAAATAAATTTAACCTCAGATTTTGTAGGTACTTGTTCGACAGTTTCACTGAAATTGGGTCAAGAAATCACATCACCCTTATTAAGTTGTTCTGTAAGCTCTAACCCAGGTGAGGTTCTGAAAAGGTAGTCCCTGAGATCCTTGTGGCATAGCGGCAAGGCAAAAACTGTATGTAATACCAGTAAGAGAGCTGTTTGTCTTTTTTACTATGTTGATATTTGCTCTGATGGTTTGAAAGAAGCGGTGGTTAAAACTGCCAGATCTTAGTAAGTGGCCCTGAGCTTTACTTAGTAATTACTCTATACTAACACCCAGTTCATAAATATGGCATCACACTGAAAAAAGCCCCCAATGAAGTAGTACTAATTAATAATTTTATTAAATCTCACTCTTAAGTATAGACCTTTTTAGTATTCAGTGTGATGAAAAGGGGATTCCATGTACCGTCAGCTTGCTACTTGCCAACGTGCAGAAGTACTTGAGCACGGTAGCTAAGCACTTGAGGCTGTCTCAAGAAAAGCGTGTGAGATGATTGCTGCTCCTGCCATGAACACCGTTTTTACTTGAAAGAAAAACTATGGCTGCTTTGCCTTGTGCATCTGGTAGGCATTTTCTCAAAACTGATTAAAGTGAACGTGCCATTTCAAGGAAAACAACTGATGACATTTGTTCCCAGGATTAAATTTTGAACCAAAATCAGAATTTGGGAAATTGCATTTGCCACCCAGGGCTTGCCTGCTTCCTGGCACCTAGTGACTTTACTGATAATACTGACGGTGTAAGTTAATAACTGTTAATATTTTCGGGCATTGTTTGTGAACATTGTTTGGAAGGTCTTCATAAATCAATGCGCTGGTCTTTTCCAAAAACGACAACTCAAAAAAGATGCTATGAAATCACACATAGTAAAAGAGTCACTGTAAGTGTAAGACAAACCAGTGGATTTTAATGTAACAGATTATGAAAAGTTCACAGGTATGGTTTCAGATTCCACATTCTACTAACCTTTAAGAAATTACCAGTTGTCAAAATTTTGGTGTAGTATCAAAGAAATTATTCACAGTTATCTGAAAGAGCTATTAAATAGTCCTCTTTTTCAACTATAGTCCATGTGAGGACAAATTTTCTTTACACACTTTCAATACAAAAAGCATTTGCATCAACATTTGAATGCAAAAGTAAGGGAATCATTAGCCTTCTTGTAGGGCAAACCTCACCAACATCTACAAAAAAAGTAAAACAATGCCATTCCCAGTACATTTTTTGTTTCATAAACATAGATATTTTGCATGAAATATGTTGAGTATTATAGGTTTAGAATTATCATTTTTAAGTGAAATCGAAAACAAATATCTTTTAAAGCTCTCAGAATTTTTAATACCCTAAATACCCAGAAATCTAACTCACATAAGCCCAAACTCTTTGAGGGCATTAATAATTTAAGAATGTGGGAGAGGTGGATAAAGAGAGTTGCATACTTTGTATATTCCTGACTAGGCGATAACAGTGAAATGTTAATCTTTTCCGAGGTTAAGATTGCCTTAATGCAAATTCCAAGGTGATTTTTTAAAAAAAGCTTAAAAGTAACTGAAGCACAAGGAAAAAAGAATGTATATATGTAATTTGGAGACCGCCTTATCAAATAGTAACAAACTGAAAAGATAAATTATCAAAACAATGCAGAATTACAATCAGAACAAATGAGTATAATAGAAAACACAGAAACAAATCTAAGCACATGAAAAGGAAACATCGTAAATCAGTGGATAAGAGAAGAGTTACTGAATAAGTAGGTGCTGGGATAATTTGTCAAGTACCCAGAAAGATCAAAGTAGTGCCTTCAAATCATATACCAAAATATATGAGGTGGACAGATGGAAAAACAGCAACAATCATGCAAGTTAACAGACGAAAATAAAGGTCTAACATGTCTGCTTTTGGATTTTGAGTCCAAACATTAAGGGAAAACACAACATGAGAGATGAGTGGATTTAACCATGTGAAAAATGCAAACCTCTTCTTTTGTCAAAAAGGAACACAAGTGAGTAGTAGTAGTAAGGCGGTAAAAATATCTGTGACATATGTAAAAAGAGAACAGGTTAAAAGAATTTATAAGGAGTTTTAAAATGAACTATCTCTTCACCTGAAAAAGGATGCTGTGTACAACATAAAGATGCAAAGACGAAACTTAATATGGAGAGAAAGTCTTCCCACTCCAAAGTGGAGGCCCTCAGGCCTCTTCCCCCAAGGGAACCACCCTCACATACTTCTGCCTCCTTCCAGAAATAAAACAGCTACAAACCTTGCATATATTTTATTTCCTCCCTTTTTCACAAACCCAAGAGCATGCCATTTATACTGCTGCCCACGCTGGTGATTTGTTTTGTGTTGATTTAATAATACAGCTCGGAAAGTGTCCCCAATCACCAAGTGAAGATTTTTCTCACTTGGTTTCCAATGTGCAAAGCTATTATAATTGTATGGAGCTTTTATAAATAAATCAGTAAGTCAAAAATTAACATTCCATGAGAAAAAAAAATGGGAAAGGGCACGGGACATCCTCAAAAGAAGAAAGAAGTCCTTCAGCACCGGCTAGGATGGGAAAGGGGGCTCTCGCTCCCTGGGCGGCAAACGCTAACAGGTAGGACCATTCTGGAGACTGTGTGTGGAATCAACACCAAGCATCTACCTTTCTGCAGCAATTTATGTTCAGGAAATTATCAGAGACGCATGCACATTTATGGATTTACATTGCAGTATTATTTTATAAAAGTGCAAAATGAAAGAAAAACCCACAATGCCCAACAATACAAGAAGAAACTCAATAAATACCAGTATATTCACAGGATAGACAGTTGACAACACAGTCTTTACAATCAGGCTTTTGAAGTCCATCTCATGACATAGGAAGGCATGCGTGTGAAAATGCTAATAGAAAACAGCATATTCCAACCTCTGTACATATAGTATCAATTGCTGCGGGCAGTTAGATAGGGGTAAAATAGCCCAAAACATTAACAGCCATTATCAGCAATTTTAATTTCCTTCTTTATATATTTTTGTCAGTTTTCTGATTTTTTAGAAATATACTTTGAAGTCAGGAAAAGACATACATCACAAAAGGATATTTTTTCTAGTCCTTCAAAGAGAGCTAATATGCATACAGACACAATCTGTTCTGCAGGCATTCCTACATGAGTTATTATTCTGTGTAGAGCACTAGAAAAACACTAATGCTACTCACACATTATGGTGTCCTACTTTATAAGAGCCTATTTTGCTGTGCAAATTTATCTCAGAAGAGAAAATTGCATGTGCCTATATGTTCTGGTGCTGCAATCTCAACAATGAATTAAAGGACAAATCCAGGCTAACCAGGTTAAAATTGGGAGTGTGTGTATGAGGAGCCTCAATTATCTCTGTTACAAAGAACCCTTATTTCTCTGCCTTGTGAGAGGCATCTGTCAACGTTAAATTCCTGTCTCTTTCAGATCCTCTTTATCCTCCCTAACAAAAACAAGCCCAGGGAAATGACAGTTAGAGTTGCACAAACCCCAGGTTTGGCCTCCCTGAGAAACTTGTCTGGAAATCAGAAGTCAAATCCCTGGCCTACATCAACCTAGCAAAACATATCCCCCTTCAATAAACAGTCACACATTGATTGTCGAGGGCTTCAGGATCAAATGAAGATCTTACCCCTGTGAATGCTTTTCCTGAGTACAACTAAGAGGCTCTATTTTTGACTCACTATTTAAGAAGGGACATCTGGAGCCTGCCTGTCTCTCTAGCCTCATCTCCTATCCCGGCATCTACTCCTCCCTCTAGGACAGCCACTGACGAGATTATGCAATTCCCCAAACACTTGGAGCCTTTTCTTCTCCATGGCGTGATCAGGGTGCTCTCAGACTGCAGGGGCCTAGACCTTGCCCCGCTGAGGAGCTAACCCCCTTGAAAGCGCCTTTTCAAAGCTTTAGGGATTTTCTAACTGGAAAGCAACTTTCCTTCCTGTTCCCACCCAGCAAAGACACTTGGTTTTGTTCCTGGAGACACAGGGATTTGTGTCCTGCACCCATTATGCGCTGGCCGAGTCATCTGGAGCAAGTAATCGAAACTCTGAGAGCTTGGGCTTCTCCCCTGTAAAGTGCCCCTTCCTCCTGGTGTTTTGGAGAGGATTAATGCGCTTTACGTGAGAAACAGGAAGTGCCTCGTTGACTCTGTATTTGACAAATGATGGTTTTCTTTCCATATATCATTATGAATTTCTGCCATATTAGCAAAACACGTCCCTCTTCAATAAACAGTCACATACTCACCGAGGAGGACTTCAGGATAAAATAAGGACTTTACCGCTGGGAATTCTATGCCTGACTACAATTAAGAGCTTTTATTTTTGACTTAGCATTATCATCCCTTCACCCAACATATAGCCACACATGCACGCATGTGATGACAAGTGCCATGGATTCGGGTGCTGTTTTCAGCTTTGTGGTCTCATGGGTCCCTAGTTCTAAGATCTGTGCATAGACTAAAAGGCTCCAAAAATATTTGTTGAAAGAAAGTAATTGGTGTATTAAAGACAACTAAAATATTTAAAAATGCAAATGGTAGAACCAGAAAACCAGATTTTTTTCCTTTAAGAATTAACAATTAAAACACCAGAACAGCACTTCATAGCGAGTCACAATCTAATTACAAATAGACAGATCAAAGTGCCCAAGCCCTGTGAACATGCCAGCAAATGCGCCGGGTGAGCGTTTCAGTCAAATGGTCAGTCTGTTCCTTCCCTCACATCCTCAATTCTCATTACCTTCCAGCCTTTGAATCTCCTCGGCTGTCACTTCCAGTGTTTGATCAGACAGGGAAGCAACCTGGATGACCTAATAGAAAAGAGAATGAGATGTGTAGATGTGTGCGTCTGTTTGTTTCTCTTTAAGCAGAGGTAATTCTGTCTTTCACAAAGGAGGAGGAAACATCAAACATCAAAGATCTTTTGTTTTAAGACACCGCCAGTGTCCTCCATTGGAGACCAAACCTCAGGCCTCCTTACTCTGGGAGTGGTAATTATAGTGCCGATCATCACTCCAGAAGAAAAGATTCATTTAAAACATTCCACAATAAACAGAAAAGACCAAAAAGATCATTTAGGATGAGAAACCACACCCATATATAGTCTAGCCCCCACATAAATGCTAGTTCTTGACAAAGCATACTTACAGTAATAGAATTAGGTCAACAATTGTTCCCTCAGTGAGGAAATAACTGTAACACGAATGAACAAATGACCGTGACATCGCCTAAGCAGCCACACATAGATATGCTGTTCCAAGCACTTTTCATTGCAACGTTGCTCATAAAACCCAAGATCTACTTTCAGTTACACCAAAAGGAACTCCTGCCTAGGGGCCAAAGAGACACTTTGTCCATAAAAGAATGTGATTTGGCCAAAGTAACAAACCGACTCGTGGTAGGATGACTTGGAAAAGAGTTCCCTTGTAGAAGGGAAATTTTCCAGAGACTGATGGTAAGCAGTCCAGAACCCAAAACCCTCAAGTTCCATTATCAAATGAAATGTACAAGGAAGGGAAAAAACCCTAACCCATGAGTTTGATGATTTTAAAGTAGAATGCATGTTGTGCTTTATTAACTTCTGATTAAAGAGAAAAATCTTACACCATCCTTGAGTGAACACATATACCACACACCAGCCAGTCCTCGCACAGGTAAAATACAAAGAATCAGAGGACACCTCCCTGCAACATGATAGGGTTGAATTTAGAAGTGCTCCTGTAAACAAAGCAGCAGGAGGAGACAGGCCTCACTCCCGGGAGGTCACTGAACTTACCAGCTGGGCAAAAGTGGTGACCTTTAGTCTCTTGAACAGCTCATCTTTTTTGTATCTATAATCTGAAAAAGAAGAAAGGACAGGTAATTTGCTAGGTTTATTTTGCTTACTTAGAGGTAATTCTAGTCATCGGGGTTGTATGGTCTATTTTCCAAGTTATGCATATGCCGTTACTGTATTGCCTCAGCTGAGACCCCCGCTTCCCTCAGTGTAGGTGTGGCAGGCATCACCATTAGCTCTTCATGTACCCCCTTTGCTTTGGCCTAAAGTAGCATACTCAGCCACCTTTCTGGGTTTGCAAACTTTGTGTCCCCTGCTTTTAGTTAGTCTAGCGCTAGCCTTTCACTATGCTGTCGCTTCTCTGCCCATCCCATGTGGTGAACATGTGTGTAAGCCACTTTAAATCCTTTTCAGAACAAAGCAGGCAGGAAATGTCGGCAAATGAGGAGAGAGAGACCCCGAGAGGCTGCGTCGCCCCAGCTCAAACAGCTGGGAAGATACTCACACCCTACGAGTCTAACTGTGCCCCAACGAGAGGAGGGTTGTATTCCTGAGTTGCAAGCTGTTTAGACACACAGGACAGTTCTTTTTTGGGCCAAGATGCTGGGCACAACAGTATGAGTCTTAGAGCAATTCTGCTTCAACTCCACTTCAGTGAGAGGTGAACACAGTGGATATCTACTGGACCACAGCAACTGAACTGGGCAGTTAAAAATGGTTAAGATGGCAAATTTTATGTGTTTTTTTTTTAAAGCATAAATTAAAAAATAAAATACCCACCTAAAAACACCAATATTTAGTAAATGCTACCTCTGCGTTTCTAAGGGGTAACTCAGACAGGGGTCTTGTGTACTTGTTGGGAGTTCACAGTTCTTCATATTACATTAAACAGGGTTTTAAAAATTTAGCCCACCTCATTTTAAAGATTCATCCCACAGAGGCGCATTTCCTTAAACTTTTCTGAAGATGACTGTCAATTCTGAAGCCTTTTCAGCACTGAACTCCCAGCCACCCTTACCCTTCGCTCCTCTTCTGTGCTTTTATACTGGCGCCTGTGACTCCTTAAATACAATCTCATTATTTTAGAATTACTAAAGGTTAGCTGGATAATTACTATGACCTTCACAGCAAAAAATGTCTCACAAACCAAGACTCCTAGCAACAAAGGAAAGGATTAAAAGTATTTAAGATTCCTCACCTCATGTTACTAATCATTTCTCTGAATTAAAAAAAAAACAAAAACAAAAACAAAAAAAAAACAAGCCAAAACAAAACCCCAGCATAGACTGAATAGTTACTCTGAAGGATAATGTGTTACACGGTTTACAAAACACTTTAGGTTAGGACTGGAAGTCTGAGAAAGATAGTACCTTAAGAATCAGCTGTCTATAAATATATGAAGGTTCTTATGTGGAATTAAGACTTCTCTATTCTGAAATCTTAAAGAGAACAAGTTCATGAATAACTGACCATTAATTGTAGAAAATGTCAGAATAGCTTCTCTGTGTACGAGTGAACCCTAGATATAATGGTGCTTCTACAGCCTACCAGGATGCAGAACCCACAGAGGCTGAGCAGAGGCTTTAACAAGTACAACTGAAAAAACCACAGTATTTCTCTCCATCGCCACCCAAATGCCCAACAAAAGTCACTGATGTAAATCAAAATGGCAATAAATCAGCCAACAAAAAGTCAGCACCTTTCAAGTAGTTTGCACCCTGGCATTTATCCACTGATATTTATATACATATATAGTTAAACAGTTTGAAATACTTCTCCATTCTAAATGTAAAGGGCACACGTTAAATTTCCCTGTAACAAAATAGAAGTTACCAGAAACAAAAACCAGTCTTTGCTATATTCTAATGCTTGGCATTTTCAGTGTCCCCTCACAAGTACCAGAAATCCCACTGGGCACTTGGGCCTGACCTCTACGTACCTGGTTCTGGTCTGGAAGGACAGCCACCATGAGGACTTTCTGACATCATTACTCAGAGATAAAGGATCAAACTAGAAGTTTGACAGCTTTAAACTTTATAAGAAGGATGACTTGGAAAGCTCTGTCAGTCTGTCCTTGCAAAGCGAACAGCTTTAAGAACGGAGCCTTCTGCTACCCTGGCTTCTCCCAAACTCTGCAATGGAGACAAGCAATCCCAGTTTGTGATAAGTTATCAAGTGTTGCATCCCCAGTAAGTTGGGAGTCTAAGTCTCTCTCTCTCTCGAGTTACTGGAAGGACAGAGACCTGACTATCCAGGATGTTTCACACTCAGTCTAGCTAGTGTCATCTACCCACTAGATAGACGCCAAGAGCAGGCTTTGTGAGTAGTCAATAGACATAGAGTGTCTATTTTCCCCAGAAAGAGTTGAAAGAATATTCAGGTTACCAAGGAATGCTGAGTGTTCAGAGTTCTGTTAAAAGGCGTTATTAGCAAAGGGAAGTGGGGCCACATTGGAAGACAAATCAAAGGAAGTAACAGAACAAGGTCTGTGATTTCACAGAGAGACATGGCCTCCAAGGTAACATGAGGAAAGCAATGGGTCTCGGGTGTCATGAGACAAAGCTGTATTCTCCTCCCTTTTGCTCCAAAAGGACACCGATAACGGAAAACAGAGAAGGAACTATCTTCCAAAGTATAGACCCTGAACCAGAATCTCAAGTAATTCTAGTCAGGAGTGCAGCAAAAAGGGAGTGAGGCAGGGTGACAGGCACCTCCTGTCTTACTAAAAGGAAGCCTACAGCTTCTAAAGAGGGAAGGGGAGCATTTTCAAGGCCAGGTTCCAGAGAGATAATCTCCATTCAAAGCTTAGATATTCAAGAAACCACAGTGTGCTTTTAAGAAATGTTTTGAGTAGGGTTTCGGCAATCTGGGTGGAACAGGACATTTTTAGGGGGCAAATTTCTGGTGTGGACATGTGAGCTTTTGCTCAGTTACACATGGGTAGGAGGCTGAAAGAGACTACTAACCGAAACAGAAGCAAGCCAGCTGAATTTCGCCTGCTTTGGATAAAATAAGGGTGACTACACTGAAGCACAGGTAAGTAAACGAGATTTTCTTTTTCACTGTTTAAAATTTTAACATCTACTGGAAAGTGGAGACGTGCCTCGTATAAAAGGTATAAAATAGGAAATACATAATAAGGCCACACTGTGACATTACATGTTCAGAAACAAATGCTTGTGGCGTTAGCCCTTAGAGCCAAAAGTGGCATATGAGAGAATCAGCAAGGGCTGCTTTGGAGTTCCCATCCGATCTATTGTCTGGGGTATTCTTAATACCACAGCAATTCAAAAGGCAGGGAAACATTAACATTTAAATTAAAAGCCCTGCTGTGTCAAAACAAAAGTTCTGGTGAATTCTGGACTTGTAATATTCTCTTCCCAGAAGATATATATTACTTGAGCTAAGTCCTGAGCTGTTATTAATCAGAGTACCTATCTGCTACTATTAGCTAAATACCACCCCCAGCACTGGGGTCTCCTGAAGATATGAGCAAATCCATCTTAGAAAGTGGATGTTTCTATTTCTTCCTTGATTCTGGCCTCGATGTGTACCTTTTACATCTGTTTCAGACAAAAATTGAAAAATTATGATTCTGTGCCAGGGCAATGCACCCAGTGACTGGTAGCATATCTTTTCAGAAGATTAGCTTTTAAAAATGATGTGCATGAAATATGATTTTTAATTAAAAGAAAGTGGACAGCAATGAATCTATAATACCTAACACCACTTTTTAAGAATAAGCTCTTTCTTGTACCTCCAAGTCTTTCATGAAACTGTCTAATTTATAGTCAAAAGGATGTCAGGAAATACGAGAGGTCTTATGACTCCCACCTCCAGATATAGAGAAAAGAAGCTCAGAAAGATGAAGTCCTCACAGTACCTTTTCACAAAAGGCCAGGAGACTAAAGAAGTACAGGAAGTCAGAGCTGTTTCTCTTATGGTTCACTGCAGCTCATTCTACATTCCAACATTAACACTTCCTATGGGATGCCAGGAAGAACTGACCCACAGGTCCCCGTCGCAGGAGGCTAGATGACCAGCATGGTACCCCACATGTCCTACATCCTCCAAGCGCCTGCCAGGCTGGTACACCTGATCCCCACACCTCTCAGGGTAAGTCAAGGGGGGTAAAGTTAATAACCAGTGGACAGAGCAAATCCAGGGCTCCTTGATTCCAAACCACCGATGGCTTTACTCACTTTTTTTCATCTCTTCTAGCTTCTCAATGTATTTAGTCATACTGCTACCTAAAAAAAGAACAAGAATTTTAGATATGCTTTCAATGAAAGAAAACAAGTAATACTATGAATATTCCCTACACATATTCTGATGACATTACAGTAGGCTAACAGATGTACTACTTACTGCAGTAAAGTCTTTCAGATTAGACAACATTTAAAAGATGAGACATCAAAGGGTAACACTTGGGTCAGATGTATATAGGTGGGGTGCACAAGTCCCAAGCAGGATGGAGGATCCCTATCAATTCTCTCCTTTGCCCCCAGGTCAAAGCTTCCCCCTCTGCCTTTGAGGCCTCCACAAGCTCATAGGGGAGCTAGGCAGAGATGGAGAGCGAAGCAGCACTGGTCTTTGAAATGTTCAAAATGTGCCGCTGTGGCTACTGCCCAAGCTTCTCTGCGTATTCTTTGTGGTTTCCTCCTCTTTCTTGAACTTGCTCTGCCACAATTCATGCTGATGGTGCAGCCTGAACTAGACCACACAGTCTGTAGGCTAGTATTCACTACGGATTTGATTTGCTGAAAAATAACAGTGGATTCCCGCCACTATGGAGCGTCCCCAGCCCCTGTGTTTTATCGTCTGGTTCTACAATATGGCTCCAGCCATAGTGGCTTGGAGGGCTTTCTTACGTTAAAACTAGGCCAGAAGCACTTGGTTTCCGAATGAACTGAAGCCTAGTTCTTATGCCAGTGGCTATTATTCTTTACTGGGCAGGCTTTGATTCACTTGGATTCAGCACAGCAAGTTCTACCTGGCAGCTAAGAGATACTCAAAGAAGCAAAAACGTTTGAAATAACGTCTCGTTTCTAAAATTGTGCTCCCCACTTTTAAGACTTGAGAGGGTCTAGTCAGATTCTGTCCCGACTGCTGATAAAAGAAATGCTTCCTTCATTTCCATGATGGCCTGGACTGCTGCTTTAAGGGCTACTCTGAAATATTCTTCACATTTTAGGACAGAAACGGAGAAAAACGTTTTGCTCTGAAACCCAAAATTTCTTTCCAAAACACAACTTAGGTCATTTGTTATTATTAAATCTTTACCATGAATTCATTGTGGGATAAAAACCCCATTGAGTTGTGGAAAAAATGTATTTTTCATCTGAAGCTACATAGTCTCTGGATCAGGACTAGAGAAGGGGGCTCTGTAGTCCTAGACCCTGACAGCATCTTTCCAGAAGCTGGACAAGAAGAGAGGGCAGTGAGGGCTGCTGGGAAAGCCGGAGCCTTCTCCGCAGAGACACAGGGCACAGAGAGCACCAAAGAACAGGATTAGCTCCAAAGAGGATCTGCCCCAGGCTCTTCAGGCTGGAGTGGACCTGAAATGCCCACAGGTCTCCGGACCAAAAAGCAAGCGTTTTCTCGGACACACAGCCCCCTCGCCCTTGCAACTCCCCACTCGGGTGTGTGCAGAGGGACCACGAGAGGCAGGGAGGGGACAAGGCCATGTGCTGTCTTCACTGGCTCACATCCCACTCTTAAACTGCTTCACACAGCTTCCAGGTGGCAGCCCAAGCCCCGACTGTGACACAGGGCTGATGCTGTGGCTTTGGGCTGTCTAGTCAGAGGATTGAGGAACAAATAGGATTACTGACTGGTCCCAAGACACAGCAAGCAGGTAACTAAACCTGGATCAGGATTCCCAGTCTCTGGTTTCTAAGACAGCTCACAAAAAGACACTCTTTCTCCAGGTAGTTTATTTAAGAAGACGAAACAAAACAAAACAAGATTTCACTGTGAGGTAAATATGTACAAGGTGTCGCTTCCTTAATGACATCAAGTGGGAAGCAGTTTGTCTTCTAAATTCCCGGAGGCACACGATGCATGGAAAACAACAGTCAACCGTATTATATAGTCTTTATTAGTAAGACATTGCATTTCCCATCTGGAGCGATTTCTAGTCACAAAGTGTCTAAAACCCATTTCTCGATCGATTATGAGCATGTTCGGAGTATTTACAAAGCACTTCATCTTGTCCCAGCGAGCTTCCCCCAGAACAAGGAGGTGAGCTAAGCTGGAACTTGGACTGTTTGTTTTTCCCACTGAAGGGGAAGGCAGAGAAACAGTCTTTGGCAGAGGTATCAGATATTTGGCAAAATTAAGGAAAAAAATCCATGAAGGCTATTGACTAGAAAACTCCTTTCATTATGGACATTCTATCCAGGTCTGGGGAAGAAATGAAATTGGAGGATTTCTGCACTGCTTCAATTGGAGAAATGAGACAGAAGGACAGCTAATCAACACCAAAAAAATTCTTACAAATGATTTCAGAAAGCATGACAAGCAGTATTTTATCCCACTTCATACACTTCTTCTATCTTCACTATGCAGCTTATCTTACTGGATCTAATTTCCTCTGAAAATTGTTTTTTGATTACCTTTTAAAAAGACTAGGAATGAGTCATTTTTATAATTCATTTATTTGTAAGTACATCTTTGTTTTATGCAAAAGTAAGGAGTTTAAAATAAAATCAGTGAACCGGTCCTTTTTTTTTTTTTTAATTGAAATTACACATTACTGCCTGATAAATTTTCCTAGACAAGACTTTGATTAAAAAAATAAAATGTCAGTGGCTCCCCATTGCTTATTGACTAAACTTTAAAGTCCTTGGTCTAGCACTGAAGGCGCCAACATCTTACCTACCTCTTCAATCTTGCCTTAATTACTAAACTTGACAGACTCTCTGCTAGTCTTTGGTTCTCTAACATGTCACCTTGTCCCCCTAATCATAATAGCTCACCCAGCAGGAAGCGACCTTTCCCTCCTCTGAACTTGCACGCACCCAGCTTACCACTTGCCAGGCATTCATCACCAGACTGCCTTATTTGTGTGCAAGCTTTATCTGCCTCATTATGCTGAAAGCCCAAGACTATTTACACATGCACAGAATGTCTTTATCCATACCACTGTCTAGAATAGGAGGCACAAACAAAAAAATCTGCTAAGTGAAATATACTATGAAAATCTATCTGAAGAGTCTTTCTTTATAATGAATGACTATAATGCAAATAATCACACCCTAATTTGGTTTGCATTTTTGTACACCTGATTTTCTTTAAATGATGCACAACTTGATTTATACATAGGGTTTGTTCTATATAACCCATCCTGGGTAGGGGCTCAGGTAACCTAGCAATTTATAAGATGGTAGTTAGCTTCTACTTAGTTTATAATTTAAGTTGCAACAAAAGATGTAGTTGAAAAGTTTTACAATTAGGATCTAAAAGAAAGAGACAACCCGGCTGTTTCAATAGTGCTATGCAAAGAGAGAGCACAATTGATGAACCGAGTGACTCATTCAGTAGAATTTTCCCTTTGTTTTTCTATAATTTAATAACATTATTTGTACTGAGCCAGTAAGAAAAGCAAGTGATTTTGAGCAGCAGTAATCTAAAGTGGGTAAGATTTATAAGGCACGAATTCAGTTGCTAAGAGACAACTCTATTGCTTTATTTTTCTTCAATATTTCCCTCCTCTATGGAGAACTTCTTTTGGCTCAGAAGGAGCAGAAAGCGTGAAAAGAGGCACAGTGGTCCTTTGTTAATCTCAATAAGTTATACGAGGGTATAGTGCTTCCTGGTTTGTAAAAGGCTTTCACAGACATTTCTTCCTTTGACATAAGAAACAGAATTAAATACCAAATAAACATGAAGAGTACCTAGTCTGCAGTGAGTTTCTGTGCTTAAGATCAAGGCTATTAGCAAATATTCAGGAAAAGTACAAATTAAAGAGAAAGAAGGGAAATGTCTAGGAAAAGAAGTAAAGTGAATTTTAAAAAACTGAAAATAAGGCTAGGGAAGACAGTGGAGAAAACCTACCGAATTTCAGAAAGCTAAAGAAATTTGAAATTCGATTGACTATGGATTGAAAGGAGAGGGGAATCAAGCGATGAACAAGTGTGGGGGACTAACAAAGGGAGAGCCCTGTGGTTTGGAAAGTGTCCCTTAATAGGCCTGCAGTGCTGCAGAACAGAGACCCAGAGAGGGAGCTTGAGAATACAGGAGAAGCCTGCAGTGGAGACTGAACAAAACGCCGTCAGGGATTTCATCAGAAGCAAAATCCATTCATGGCACAGTCTGGCCAAGCTGGGGAGCTGGTAAGATACATTCGGGCACCTATGGAACAAAAGAAATAGTTGAAGTTCAAAATAATTCATAGTGCTAGCCACGGCTATACACGAGTGCTTGAATTTATAAATAGAGTAAGAAGTATAGATTAAAAAAATAGTCTTTACCCTGGAAGAAGATATCAGTCTGAAGAACTCAGTAGAGGTGATTTGGTTAAAGACAGGAGATACCATCAACTTCTTGAGTTCTTTTGATTGATTCAGAATTGCTCACTGTTTGGTAAGAAAAGATTAACGACCCATGTATCTAGCCTAGAAATGAAAACTGCTCACTCGTTAACATGCCTATTTCCACTGCTATGACCACAGAGTTTAAAAACATCCCCCAGAGAGGAGCTCCTTATACTTATTTGGGTTAAAGGTCATTCCTGTGCTTTCTTAACGGGGATGTCTCACTCTTTTCAGCTTATAGCACACATCTAAGTGGTAATATCTGGGCCAAACACTGGGCACTGCCCAGGCCCTGACAGCTACCGGGCCAGCTGAAGGCCACTGCACACTAGGTGGGAAACTTTCTATGAATACACAGGGAGGTAAGTCACAAAATACAAAGAAAAAAATAACATATTTCTCTTACATTGACTTGAAAATAACTTCCATTTTAAAGACATCTGAAATAACAATAAAACATCAATATTTGGATGAGATTTTTGTTCTCACAATGACTTGAAAATGCTTTGATTTTTTAATCAATGAAGCACACTTTGGCCCTTCAGAAAGTTATTATAAAACTAGTTATGGGGGATTTCTGCTTCCAGAAAGATGAGGTAAGTGTACTTTTCTTTATGACGCCAGCTAAGTGTAGCAAAAATTCTGGACAGTCCACATATTGGGAGAAAATATTTGCAACTGATATTTCTGAAAAGGGCTTAGTATCGAGAGTA